TAACTACTCAGTTTCTTGATGATGTTTGAGATAACTTTTCAGTTCATAACATATCGGACGCTTTTATTTGCTACGGCTAGCAAATATTATGAATATCGTCACTCACCTTCATTCGAGGATCCTCGACTATTCGGTCAATATCATCCTGAGTCAGTCCCATGTATCGACCAGGTGGTCCTTGCGGTCCAGGCATGCCGATTCCAGGATCACCACGTGGTCCCATCGGGCCTAGAATTCCATGCAGCTTATTAAGTGGATGATCGAGAAGAACTGATCAAAATTCATCGTCGCACGCACATGGCATTAGTGATCAGAAACTCTTTTGAGGTCTAACCTTGCGGTCCTTGTGGTCCAGGAGGTCCTGGTGGGCCGGGAATAGCTTGCATCGGATAGCCAGCCTCGTCGGGAGCTTGCTGAATTACTTGTCCTGGTGGGCCAGCTGGTCCTGGTGGGCCAGGTGGTCCCTGTGGTCCTTGTTCACCTCGTGGACCGGGCATTCCATCGCGACCGTCACGGCATTCGGCCATGCACTAAAAATATGGCTATCCTCAAAGACGAATTCCATTTGATACATCAATCGAACGACGCTTCTTTTTTCAATCGACGCTTCACTCGTCTTGAATAACCAATTAAAACTAGGCTTGGAAAGTTTACAAAAGACTGTGAAACTGATAAGACGTAAAGCGTAAATATAAAGTCACTGGGTGACATACCACGCCAGGTGGTCCAGCTGGTCCAACTGGTCCCTGTGGACCTGGTTCACCTCGCTCTCCTCGATCACCCTTATCGCCTTTCTCGATTTTGATGACCTTATCTGAAATTGCAGAAGAGTCACTGGACCATCTGATAAGTTACGGCCGCAAAACTACGTTGCTATCAGTCCCGAAATGCATCATCGTGCATGAACTAATCAAAAGAAATTAATTCTATCATGCAGCCATTTTGACATTCTCTTTTTGCACATGTCACGATCATGTCACTGATTTGCTTAGACTTCATCAGGAACCGTACGAACCATATGGTACTATGGGCTATTGTGACAGAAAATGACCAGAATTACGCCTATACCATACAGGAATCCATTAATTGTGAATTCATCTGTCATCAAACAATTCGGAATGCTGAATAGGGATAATGTTGTATAGCATTGACCATCTGTAAGCATTCGACGCGCTATTGAGCAGAACAAACTTTCATCGTTGTTTTGAAACTTTACGTTGATTTATTTCATCACAAATTTCTGAACAGAAACTTACCATGAACACAATTTGGTCGAAAGAAACTACTCATTGTAACATGCAATGCATGAACGCATAACAGAATAAGAGCGAAAAAAACCAGAACAGAATGATGCTCGAAGCAGCAACCCTACTCACGTGCTTCATCAACTTGAGTTCCACAAAATTTCTAGTTAGTGCTTATTAGTGCTTTCAGTCTGATTCGCATGCCAGATCTTCTTCACATTACCCTATCTATCTCCAAAGAAACAATTGATTGAAAAGACTGGACTGCATCATAATGAAGAAGTAACAATTGGATTCTTAATACGTCAAAACAAAATTCAACAAAATGATGAACTGAATTGGCCAGGCTATCAAACGTTTGTAGCTATGCTGACCACAATGCTCACGTTTCCATGCACATTGTTTTAGCCTCAATCTACACCACCCCGCTGGCTAGGCGAATAGGCCAAAATTTCGGTAGATCATCTATCCTATGGTGGATAATACAATACAAAATTCGACAAAATACCAATCTCAGTCTCAAAAAAAGGTATCTGATCGTGAATAAAATAAACGACTATGAAACGTGC